TGTGAGCTAAGCTGATGCCACGGCACTCACTCTAGCCAGGGCAACAGAGCCAGACTCTGTCTCAAAAAAAAAAAAAAAAAAGAAAAGAAAATCTGCATTCAGGGTTTTGGCCTCACATGGGAGCCCCTCACTTGGTAGCAGCCTCAGCGTCCAATCCAAGCACCCGGCCCCAGGGCCAGGCGGGAGACTGCACTGCCACCCACCCACACCCATCCCAGTCCAAAGATCCCAGCCTCCTGAGTAGCCGGGGCTGCTGGCCTGAGCCGCTGTGCCAGGCTCCGATCTTGGTTGTAAAAGCCATTCTCCACTGGAAGGAAGCAGGGCTCCTTGGAGAAGTGGGTCAGCCTGGGACTGCAGAATCAGAGTAAATTCAACATTTCGTACCAGGAAGTAGTGAAGTGCTCAAAGAGTAAAGAGACATGTCAAAAGGCCACTTAAAGTTACAGGTAGTGGTCCCAGACTGACCTAAATACAGACATAAGAATGTACATATGCTGGGCTCACACCTGCAGTCCCGGTTCCTCGAGAGGCTGAGGCAGGAGGATCACTTGAGCCCAGGAATTAGAGGCTGCAGTGACAACACTGCATTCCAGCCTGGGACACAGAGCGAGACCTTGTCTTTAAAAAAGGGGGGTAGTGTCACAAAGCCAGGCTTCCCTCGGTTTCCCCCCTTGCACGCATTCGCTTCCCCTCTGGCCTTCTCTGTGACGCAGCTTGGAATCCCTCCCCAGAAGCCAGGGACAGGCCCTGGACCTGCTCAGCCGCAGAACCATGAGCTAAATAAACCTCCTTTCTTCGTAAATCACCCAGTCTCAGGGGCTGTCTCCTAGTCACACTCAAGGGACAAGACACACACACGTCCGAGACAGAAGCATGACCTCACAGAGCAGATCTGACGGTCTCCCTGCAGAAACTATGTAATAATTACGTATTAGAATGAATGCAAAATGCTTGCTAATCAGCTCCACAGTGGGAAATCTTGGCAGATAGCATCTTACCCAAGTGACAAGAGTTATTGTCAGGCCGGAGGTGTGGCTCACACTTGTAATCCTAGCACTCTGGGAGGAGTGGAAACCAGCCTGAGCAAGAGCGAGACCCCGTCTCTACCTATAAAAAGAAATTAATTGGCCAACTAATATATATAGAAAAAATTAGCCGGGCATGGTGGCGCATGCCTGTAGTCCCAGCTACTCGGGAGGCTGAGGCAGGAGGATTGCTTGAGCCCAGGAGTTTGAGGTTGCTGTGAGCTAGGCTGACGCCACGGCACTCACTCTAGCCTGGGCAACAAAGCAAGACTCTGTGTCAAAAAAAAAAAAAAGGAGTTATTGTCACCAATAGTGGCCACATTGGCACCATGGGCCTCCCATAGGTGCTATGAGAAGAAGCCAGCCTCACTCCTGTGGGATGCCTGCTGGACACGCAGAAATCACAGGCGCAGAGTAAGCCTCAGTGAGGCACGCTCCGCAAAGGCCCCCGAAGGGTGTCTTCAAAGCGGGACGTCGGCAGGGCTGTGCGGATTTGGCGGGGACCATGCGTCACTGGTGGTTTCCTGATTTTTAGGGTTGACCGTGATTACCTGGGAGAGAGTCCGTTTACTTTGAAAACGCTCTCCGAGATGTGATGGGAAACGGGCATCGAGTCTGCAACTTATTCAGGAAAGGATAGTTACACGGAGGGTGAGCGTGAGAGAGACCGAGACAATTCGGTAATGTGACAACTGGGAATCTGTGCAAAGGGGACATCCGGGATCTCTGCGCTGTGTCTGCCACTTTTCTGCAAATTAGACATTATTTCAAAATAAAAAGTTGGATAAGAGCGTACACCCAAAGCAATACCATGTGTTCTCCAGGGGCGCCTATATAGGCTTGAAAACCTTTAGGCAAAGTGTGGGAGGCTGAGCAAGGTGGATGGCCGGGAAGGCCCCAGCGGTCAGAGGCAGCCGCCCTGCCACTGGCCCGCGGGCGCCCGTGTCAGCTGCTGCCCCCTGGTGGCTGCGGGCGGGTGAGGCGTGGGGAAGCTAAACCTGCCACCTGGTGCCCTCTGGGGCCGCTACTGGGAGCCGACAGACTGTTTCACAAGTGACCTTCCCATCCCATGGGATCACCTTGGGGCCAGTGACGAAGCTAAGATGGACACAGACCTTATTTCTGAGCACCTGCTCTGTGCCAGGCCAGCCTGAGTGTGGGACCAACGGCACCTCCACCAGCGCCCTGGGGGAACAGTCCCTGCCGGCACTCCCAAATGGGTGAAGAGACTGAAGCGCGGAGGGCTGAAGGAGCCTGCCCACAGCAAGCTGTCGGGGATTTTTACCCGGGCCCAGAGACACAGCCGGCTGGCCCAGGACGACCCCTGGCATGGCACCACGAGGCACCAGCGTGCACTCCTTCCCACGTTCCTCACCCTATAGTCCAGGCATGCATGGCACACCACCCCCGCCCTGTGCTGTCCCACATGGCCAGGGCTCCCAGCAGGGCACATCTGTCCCGTGGGGGCGGCGGGGTGGGGGGACATGCCCCCCCAGACCAGCTCCAGGCAGTGGGAGCCCAGAACTCCCAGCAGCGCTGTCTGAGCTTCCCGGGCCCCTCGGTGGCAGGCGGGTGCGGGTGGTCCCAGCAGCGGGAGCGTGGGCTGCTGCTCCAGCGGGACTCACCAGGCGGGCCCTGCAGAGCCCGCTCCGCCTGGCACTGGTCATGGCGGGAAGCCCGAGCACACCTGGCTGCAGGGCCCTCCGGTCTGCTGGTAACTCTTAACTACTGGGGCACAGGTGAGTGCTGGCAATGCCAGGGAGCCTGCGTGGGCCCTCCAAGGCACCTGCTGACTGTGGGGAGGTGGGCACGCGGCCATTTGGCCCTTTCATGCTCACTCGGGCAAGGAGGGGCCGCGCAGGCCGGGTCCTGTCTGGGAGCTGAGGGCACAGAAGTGGGCAGGGCGGGCGTCCCTCCCTCGGGGCCCGGCGGGCGGGGTCGGTGTGGGGCTGGAGGACGGAGGGTGGCCCCGGGCTCCCTCCTCAGCTCCACCGCCTTCCCTCACTCATTCATCCCCCCACCCACTCATTCGCTCCCTCCCTCCCCCACTCACTTCTCAGGGGAGCGTGGGGGGCAGCATGAGTCAGACGACAAGAAGTCAGACGACATGAAGCCTTGTGGTCAGTGACTGACGGTGGAACCCTGCTGTGGCCGTCTCTGGCGGTCAGAGCGGGGGAGCCCGGCCTGTGGCTGGGGAGCTGGGGACTGGCGTGGCGGAGGGGCGGCCCAGGCGGTCCCCTGCCCACCACCTCTCGACTGCCCCCGTCCTGCGGAGCCAGCCTGGTGCCTCGGCCCTCTGCCCCGAGGGTGTCAGCCTCCAGGACAGGGCCGGCCTCTCTCCCTGGGGGCTGCTCACCTAGTGTGTGTGTGGGGCGGCCCCTTTCCGTCTGGGCTTCGCCCTGGGGAAGGTCCCTGCAGCGGCCGGCCACTCAGGGGAGCACCATCCCTCCAGCCAGGGACCATGGACTGGTCTCTGCACGGAACTTCTGTGCCAGCCACCGGTGACTGCCTGGGTCCCCTCTGGGTCCCGCCAAGCATCCATTTCATGTGGCCCCACACCATCACACCTGGCACCCTCTCAGCCCCCCACGGGAGGCGTCACCTCCTGCCTGTGGGTTTCTTGCCACTGTGAGACCCCCCAGGTGCTTGCAGCCCTCACCTGGGCCAGGTGCTCTGTGCCCAGAGCGAGGCTCTCCCCACCCTCGGGGAGAGACGGTGCCCCGCCCCCGGGCAGTGCAGGGCAGAATCCAACACGGGAAGCAATAGGGCTGTGCAGTCATTGCTCTGTGGCAGCAAAAGATGAAAACGGGGCCTCTGGCCTCCAGGACCGCACAGACTAGTTTTGTTGTCTTAAGCCACCAAGTTGGAGGCAGGTACAGCAGCCTCAGGGGATACAACCCTGCGGAACGTGGCGTAATCCCTCTCGCCCCAGCGCTGAATTTTCCAGACTGTTCCAGGACGCTGGCCCCGAGCATCAAGCCCCGGGTCAGGGCCGTCCCTGCCAGAGACTGCGGAGAGCCCTGGGAGAAGAAGCTTAACTTATGAAAGTAAAATTGCGTTATTTCTTTTAAAAAGGAAGTTGGCATTGACGTGTATTTTTGTGCTTTTTCTCCTAAATGCATTTCCCCGATAACTTTCACAGTGAAGAACAGCAGCCCACAGCCTCGTCACAGAAGCAAGGCTGTGACTCCCGCTTTGCCCTGCGCGGCGTGGCGCTGTGGGGGGGAGGGGGGCTGGGCTGGTGCGCCCAGCGTGTGTGGGGGCGGGGCAGGAAGGGAGGAGGGTCAGCTCCAGCGGCGACCCAGCGAGGTAGGTGTCCTTGGCCCCATTTTACAGATGGGGAAACCGAGGCAGAGATGTGACCTGGCTTAGGCTAGGTTCATCACGGGTGAAGCTGGGATCCGGCTCCAGGCAACGAGGTTTGCAGGGTGCTGGCTTTCTCTAGGCGACACCTGCTCCTCTGCTCCAGCCTCGGTGGGGACTGGGCAGGGGCAGAGCCACCTGCTTGCTCCTGATGGGCCCCGTGGACCCCTCAGCCCCTGACGAGGAAGCCAGGAATTCTGAGCACCCCCTTGCTCGGCGGCAGCTGCACCACACCCGCCAGGGTGTCCACCCATTAGCGGGCTCCCCCGTCCCGCTCGGCAGCAGCACCAAACCAGCCCCAGAGGAGGGCTCCCCGGGCCGGGCCCCCTGCGGTCCCGCAGCGCCAGGCCCTGCAACAGTGCTGGGCGCCCCTCGGCGTGGCTCCCAGAGGCCTGGGAAGTGCAGGGGACGCCAGCAGAAAAGCACAGAAAATGAAGCTGTCACCGTGGACGCAGACTGGGCAGCTGCCCAGGCCTCGCTGTTTGCTGACGGCCGAGGGAGCCGGCCAGATGGGCCGCCAGCGAGGAGGTCCTCCCACCCATGGGCCGCCGTCCATGTGGGAAAGCTGGGCGGGACAGCCGCGGGGCAGAGGCTCACGGAGGTTGTGGCTGCAGGAACAACAACCGGCGATGTGTCTTCAGAGACGCTCACGGGGTCTCCACAGCCAGCGGCCCCCTCCTGCCGGCCCCCGTCCTCCCCTGCAGGGCTCAGCAGGACTCCTCGCCCAGCCTCCACAGCGGGCACGGGGAGCCTGGCGGGGGGACAGGCCCGGAGAAGGCGTAGTGGCTTGTGAGCGCCGTGGGGGACCCCGCGTTCCCCGAGTCCTTGGAGCACGTGAGCTTGGTGACATCCGTCTTCATGGACCAGTTTTTCCACCCCTTGTGGATTCTGGACACCTCCTGCCGAGAATGGTCCGTGGCCAGCACGTAGATGATGGGGTCGGCCACGCTGTTCACCGTGGACAGGCACAGAAACACCACGGAGACCGTGTAGACTCTGGCCTCGAAGGCGCACACGGCGCCGGGGTCCCCCTGGTAGTAGGAGAAGGCGGCCGCCTTGACGAGCAGCACCAGGTGGTAGGGCGCGAAGCACAGCAGGAAGATGAGGACCACCGCCACGGCCGAGCGCCTCACCCGCGCCTTCTGGGCGGCGGTCAGGCCCTGGCTCCGCCTGACGCTCCTGAGGATGCGGTGGTTGGTGAAGGCGATGATGGACAGTGGCGCGGCGAAGCCGGCGGCGAAGCGCGCGTAGTGGTACCCGGCCACCCTGCCGTCCATGTGCAGGGCCTCGAAGCAGGTCTGCCTGTCCTCCATGCCGAACACCGGGTAGTGGACCAGCCCCACCAGGACGAAGATGGACGCGGAGATGGCCACGGCGGTCTTCTGGCGGCGGCGGCCCCTGCTCTCCAGGGCGTAGGCCACCGCCACGAAGCGGTCGCAGGAGATGCAGCACAGGAAGAGGATGCTGACGTAGATGTTGCAGAAGAAGATGTAGGCGGTGGCCTTGCAGGCCCACAGGCCCAGGGTCCAGCAGTGCCCGTTCTGCACGTAGACGACCCAGAGCGGCAGCGTGCCCGCGTAGAGCAGCTCGCACAGCGCCAGGCAGAACAGGTAGACAGCCAGCACGTTGCCCTGCCGCGCCTGCAGCAGCGTGAGCCCCGCGGTCAGGCAGTTGGCCGGCAGGCCCAGCGTGCACACCGCGCTGTACACCACCACCAGGACCACCCTGCTCTCCTCGAACGACACGTTGCAGTTCTCGGGCGCCCACGGCGCGCAGGCGGTCGCCAGGGTGGCGTTGCCTGTGGGACAGAGACAGCGGTGAGGACGGGAGCCGCCGGAGAGGGCGTCACGGCAACAAGAAAGGACAGGAAGCTTCATGGCACCTCCAGACAAGACACGGCAAGTGTCTAGAAAATTCCCAAACAGGCCGGGCGCGGCGCCTCACGCCTGTCATCCTGGCACTCTGGGAGGCCAAGGCGGGCTATTGCTCGAGTCAGGAGTTCGAGACCAGCCTGAGCAAGAGCGAGACCCCCGTCTCTACTATAAATAGAAAAATTACTTGGCCAACTCAAAACATATAGAAAAAATTAGCTGAGCATGGTGGCGCATGCCTGTAGTCCCAGCTACTTGGGAGGCTGAGGCAGGAGGATTGCTTGAGCCCAGGAGCTTGAGATTGCTGTGAGCTAGGCTGACGCCACGGCACAACAGAGTGAGACTCTATCTCAAAAAAAAAAAAAGAGAGAGAATTCCCAAACGGATTTTTTTTTTTTTTGAGACAGAGTCTCACGTTGTTACCCAGGCTAGAGTGAGTGCCATGGCGTCAGCCTAGCTCACAGCAACCTCAATCTCCTGGGCTCAAGCGATCCTCCTGCCTCAGCCTCCCGAGTAGCTGGCGCTACAGGCATGTGCCATCATGCCCGGCTAATTTTTTCTATATATTTTTAGTTGGCCAATTAATTTCTTTTTATTTAGAGTAGAGATGGGGTCTCGCTCTTGCTCAGGCTGGTTTTGAACTCCTGACCTCAAGCAATCCGCCCGCCTCGGCCTCTCAGAGTGCTAGGATTACAGGCGTGAGCCACTGCACCCGGCCCCCAAACGGATTTTTAAAGAGATCCTTAGACCAGGATCTCCAACCGGATGGCACTGTGGACACAGCACATGGACCGGGAGACACCCAAGCTCTGCAGCTCGTCGAGGTCAGCTTGCAGAAGTGTCTCTTGTGTGTCTGGGAAGAGTGTTTGTTCCCTAGCTGCCGAGCACGCTCCTCCAGGCACACCCTCAGCGGTGCCTGGAACCAGTGTGTCTGTCCCTCCTGACCCCCAGCCCCAGCCTGGGCACCGTGTCCTCTACAGTGCCTACCCTCTAGTCCCACGACCTCCACCTGCTGGGCCCATCAGTCACCGAGAAAAGCAAAGGTGGCTCTGTCCACTGCTTGTGGGTCCCCCAGGGTTTGCTCTGTATGTTTGAAGCTATGGACGGGTGCACAGGAGTCGAAATGCTTCTGTTTTCTTGGTGCAGGGACCCTTGCTTACGCTGTGGCACGCCTCACCTGGTAAGGCCGGATCGCGAGCCCACCTGGCTTTCGTGAATGTGCTGGGCTACCTGGCCTGGGGCACCAAAATCGAAGACTCAGTTAAAATGGCCAATTAGCTGAGCGTAAAACAAAGAGACTCGGGTCGTCTGGCAGGCCCAGCGTAGTCACAAAGACCCACACAGGTGCGGGAGGCGGAAGGGGACCCGAGCCCAGTGGTGTGAGGACAGCTCTGCCAGCCCCAGCTGCCCCGCAGACCAGATGGAGGGGCCGCAGGCCGGCCTGGAGAAGGCAGGAAGCGATTCTTCCCCGGAGCCGCCGGAGGAAGTGGCCTGCGGACACCCCTGGCAGACTTCTGATCCCCAGGAATGTAAGATAATGAATCTGGGGCCTTTTGAGCCTCTATATTCATGGTACTTTGCTACAGCAGTAACGGGAAACAAATGCAATTTCTGGTAATGCTTTTGATGCAAAGGTTTTGTTTTCTCTGCCCTTTTTTTCTTTCTGAGACAGAGTTATGTTCTGTCGTCCAGGCTAGAGTGAGTGCCATGGCGTCAGCCTAACTCACAGCGACCTCAAACTCCTGGGCTCAAGCGATCCTCCCTCCTTGGCCTCCCAGAGCACTGGTATTACAGGTGGGAGCCACTGTGTCTTGCCTTTTTATCTACTCTTTAACGACTATTATTAAGAGCTTTGTTTTGATTACTATTCATTTCAACCTTTTACTTCCAACATATCTGTGTTTTTCTGTTTTATTTATTTACTTTATTTTCTTTTGAGACAGAATCCACTCTGTTGGCCCATAGGCCTGTGAGTGCCGGGGCTCGCCTAGGCTGCAAAGACCAAGAGCTCAAACCCTGAGTGCTCTAGCCGTCTTCTCCTGCCTCACGATCTCACAAGTAGCGCGTGGGCACTACAGGGCATGCTCGCCCACCAATGCCCAGCTAATATCTCTCCTATCCCTGCCCTCTTCTTAGTTTCACGGCCCAATTTCCTTCCTTCCTTCGCTTCGGCTTGTCCGTCTTCGCCGCCTTCCGTTCCTTCCTCGCTTTCTTCCTCCTTTCCTTCCTTCGCTTCCTTCCTTCCTTCTTCCTTACCTGCCTTGCGTTCCTTCGCTTCCTTCTCTTCCGTTCCTTCCTTCCTTCCTCTTCCTTCCTTCGCTCTTCTCCTTCCAGAATCGTTGCCTTTTGCTTGGCCCGCGGCTAGAGTGAGCGTGCCGTGGCATCAAGCCGCTACGCCTCACAGCCAATGTCAACTCCTTAGGCTCAAAGCCAATCCTCCCATGGCGCCTCATCCTCCTGACGTAGCTGGGGACTACAGCATGCAAGCCGCGGTGTGCCCCCTCGCCCACCTGCCCTGCTCATTTGTCTACTCCCTATAGTATACTATATATGTTACTATGTTACCTATATCTATATATTAGTTTGGGCCAATTATTTCTTTCTATTTATAGTAAGAGACCGGGCGGGTCTTCCTGCCTCCTTGGCTCAGGCTGGTTTTGAACTCCTGACTCCAGCAATCCACCCGCCTCGGCCTCCCAGAGTGCTAGGATGACAGGCGTGAGCCGCTGCGCCCGGCCTGTTTTTCTGTTTTAGATGTGATGGTTCTACAAAACTCCAAGTGGGCCGGGCACGGTGGCTCAGGCATGGTCCGCTCGGGATCCCGCACACGCAGACCCTGCTGCTCAAGCGGGCAGGCGTCTATTCTCAGTCTGGAGGTGGGGGCCGGGACTGGGCGTGGCAGGCACAGTGTCCGGCTCATAGACGGCCCCTCTTGCCTGGCCCCTGCACAGCGGGAGGGGACGAGGTCTCCCTGGGGACTGTTTATAAGAGCACTTATCCCACGCATGACTAAGCACCTGCCTGCTGGCCCCACCTCCAAAACCATCACCTTAGGGGTGACAATTCCAACATATGACTTTGGGGGTGGGGCACAAGCATTCAGTCCGCTGCAGTTGGTGACGTCCTTTAGAAATTCCGCTAACAAGAGCTTCTCTGGGCAAACTCTCCCAGCTTTTGTTTGTCTGAAATGCCTTTATGTTACCCCAATTCTAGAAGACGGTCTCCCCAGGGGTGCACGTTAGCCTCAGCGTGTGGAAGATCTTATCCGTGTCTTCTGGCTTCTGCAGCGGCTGGGCAGCGGCCACCGAGGGGTCCAGCCACCAGGTGTGGCCTTGCGACATGAGGGCCCGTGCACTGGGTCCACTGTGGATGGCTCCACCCTGCCCCTCGGGGAGCCCCGGGCCGAGGGAGACGCACCCGACAGTCCTCGACCTGCACTTCCCTCTCGCACCTCCACCTGTCTGCTCTTTGAGGCCAGCCGGGTACTATCCTCATACTTAACGTCAGCTCAGTAACTCTCATTTTATCTATGTCTAACCTGTGTTTTTAAAAACTCATTCGATGAGCTTTTAGCTCGGCGATTATATCTTGCATTTCTAGAAATTGCATCTGCTCCTGCTCAAGCCGGGACTAACTCTTGCACTCCACCCACGTTTTCAGTTCCTCCCCTGAGTTCCTCAAACGCGCCGACATGCTCCTTTCATGCTGAGTGTGCACGGTGACACTGGCGCCTTCCAGGAGGACCCTGGTCCCACGGAGCTGGCACGCACCGGCGGGGGCGGCCTCACGTTTGCTGGGCTTCTCTGAGGGCAGGGCAGGTGGGACACAGATGTGCTGCCAGGCACAAGAACAAAGAGGCAGCCTCGCTCCCTAAGGCCCCAGCCAAACCGTGGGCTCGCAGGTGGCCCTGGGCACCCCCACTGCTGTGGCCGCAAGGGGTGGTCAAGCTCTGGGCTGAACGTCCCGACACCCAGCACCGGGAGGTAACCAGGCGGCCCTCACATCAAGGCCCCTCCCCTGCTCCCGCCAGCCCCTCCTGTGTCCCCACTTCATTGCGGTGACCGCCACCCAACGCCTGAGCCACACTCGGAGCCACCCACCGGTCCAGCCCACGCCCTCGGTGACCTGCTCCAGGCCGGGCTCTGCAAGGTCAGAGAGTCATGGTCTCTGGCCAGGGCCCCCGACGCCAAGCCCCGGCAGCCACCAGCAGTCTCAGCACCGCGGCTTCCCCGAGCTGGGTGACTCTGAGGCTGTGCCGATGGTTCCGTGCTGGGACCGGAGCCTGCGCCACCTCACTCTGGGCCAGGAGCCGTGGGGAGGTGGCCTCAGCACCTCAGTGACACACAGAGCTCGGCGATGGCTTCTCCGGCGATGCCCGACACCTCTGCAAGCCCCGGCCGGGCTGCGGCCCTGAAGCACCCAGCTCCAGGAGCCGTCCACAGGCTCCCGTCGGCTCCCGGACCTCCCTCCACACCGAGGGTCTGTGGGTCTCTCCGCCTGTCCACTCAACGTCCACCCGCAGGACATCGCGGCACAGCCCAGACGCCGAGTGGCCTTGGGAGTCCTGGCCCCGGCTGGCGACTGGCAGCAGAACTCAATGGCGGGTGGCCGTGGAGGATGCGGTTCGCAGAGCCATCGTCCCCATGCAGGGGTCACGCAGCTCATTCCCGGCGATGGGGGAGCCACCCCCACGGCCAGACCCGATGCCCCTGTGGCCACTCGCCTCTTTTTTCTTTTCTTTTCTTTTTTATTTCTTGAGACAGAGTCTCGCTCTATCACCCGGGCTAGAGTGCCGTGGCGTCAGCCTAGCTCACAGCAGCCTCAAACTCCTGGACTCAGGTGATCCTCCTGCCTCAGCCTCCCAAGTAGCTGGGACCACAGGCATGCACCACCATGCCCGGCTAATTTTTTCTATATATTTTTAGTTGTCCAGCTAATTTCTTTCTGATTTTAGTAGAGACTTTTAGTAGAGACTCTTGCTCAGGCTGGTATTGAACTCCTGACCTTGAGCGATCCTCCCGCCTCGGCCTCCCAGAGTGCTAGGATGACAGGCGTGAGCCACGTGCCCGGCCCCGAGTTCTTAAGTTGTGGCAATACCCACATCACCAAAACTTTACCACCCTAACCGTTTTCCAATGCACGGTGCGGCTGTGGCCCCTCCTTGGGCAGAGCTGCCTCGTGGCCCCAGAGGGAGACTCCATCCTCACGGCACACGCGCTCTCCAGCCCAGCCCTGCACCTGCCCACCCGCCTCTTCTCCGAGGATGCGCCCCTCTGGGGCCTCGACTGGGTCACGCAGCCCGGGCCCCCAGGTCTGGGCTGTTTCCCGCCACGCAGCGCCATCACGGCCCACCCGCGTCGGGCGAGCATCAGGGCCTCCGGCCTGGTAAGGCCGAAATGCGCTAAGCCGCGACACTCCGTGCGACACTCCGTGCGGCACTCCACACTCCGCGCGACACTCCACACTCCGCGGCGACACTCCGCGCGGCACTCCACCGCGACACTCCGCGCGACACTCCGCCGCGACACTCCGCGCGACACTCCGCCGCGACACTCCGCGCGACACTCCGCGCGACACTCCGCCGCGACACTCCGCCGCGACACTCCGCGCGGCACTCCGCGGCGACACTCCGCGCGACACTCCCCGCGACACTCCGCCGCGACACTCCGCCGCGACACTCCGCCGCGACACTCCGCGCGGCACTCCGCGGCGACACTCCGCGCGACACTCCCCGCGACACTCCGCGCGACACTCCGCCGCGACACTCCGCCGCGACACTCCGCCGCGACACTCCGCGCGACACTCCCCGCGACACTCTGCGCGACACTCCGAGCGACGCTCCGCGCGGCACTCCGCGGCGACACACACTCCGCCGCGACACTCCGCGCGACACTCCGCGCGACACTCCGCCGCGACGCTCCGCCGCGACGCTCCGCGCGACACTCCGCGCGACGCTCCGCGCGACACTCCGCGGCGACACACACTCCGCCGCGACACTCCGCCGCGACGCTCCGCGCGGCACTCCGCGGCGACACACACTCCGCCGCGACACTCCGCGCGACACTCCGCGCGACACTCCGCGCGACGCTCCGCCGCGACGCTCCGCCGCGACGCTCCGCGCGACGCTCCGCGCGACGCTCCGCGCGACACTCCGCGGCGACACACACTCCGCCGCGACACTCCGCGCGACACTCCGCGCGACACTCCGCCGCGACGCTCCGCCGCGACGTGGCAGCCCACAGGTGGCACAGCGCACCTCCTGCCTGTGCGTTTATCGGTCGGGGACACGCCGGAGCCCCCGCGCCCGGCCGCTGTGCATGACGCCGCGGTAGACGCGCCTGCTGGGGTTCCTGCTTCCAGTTCTCACCCGGAAGCGGGAGCGCGGGTCACACAGCGACTCTGTTGTTGTCAACTTCCGCGGGAACCTCCGTGCAGTTCCACGGCGCCCGCGCGCCCACGCTCCCGCCGGCCGCGCAGGGCTCAAGCCCCTCCCCGTCCTCCCCGGCACCTGTGTCTGGTTTTCTGCCCGTGGCCGTCCCAGTGGGTGCCAGGTGGCCAAGCCACGCGCTTTGCTGGGTCCCCTCACCCGCCCTCTTCCCCACTCTGGGCAGAGGGAGAGTTTGGGGCTCAGGGTGTGAGAGAGTTGCCCCCCTCCCTGCCCCTGGCCAGTCCGATCCAGCTGTCAGTCTGTGCCCAGGAGACCCGGCTGGCGGGTGGGGGTGGTGGGTCGGCTCTTGGCTGGGAGACCTGACACCTGTCTGCATGCACTGTCCCCTCCCAGGCAGCTCTGCTCCCGGTCACATGAGCACCCCAGGCTCACTGCGAGTCTGGGGCCTGTCCCCACTCCCAGGGCTCAGATGCTGTTTCTGGCAACAACACCATCTTGCAACATCTCAGTGACGGTCACCCGCTGGGGGAAGGGAGGCAGAGTGTGGGGAATCGGGGTGGGGCTGGGGGTGGGGGGAGCCGGCTTGGCTCTCGCCTGGCAGAGGTGTTGGTCCCTTCATTGCCCCCTGGGTGGCCCCAAGGCCTTCTTCACTCTGTGCCAACAGGTGACAAGGCTGCCCCCACACAGGTGACCTCCTGGGAGAAGCCTTCTGGGCGGGACAAGAGCAGGGGAGGGGCTCACGGGGGCCGGGGTGGGCACCACATTTGCAGGGAAATGGACACCCGAAAGACCCCAACTGTCCCGTCATCCTGTTCCTGGCTTTTCCCGGAACTGCTGAGGAACCGGGAGCCTCTCAGTGTCTTGACAGAGTGCTCTAGGCTCCCAGTGAATTTTTATTTTGGTCATCTACTGTTGTGCGTTAAATTTTGAATTCCGAGACGAATTTATAAGACAAAGCCCATCAGGGAAACATCCTCAGGGGCCTCCCCGTCCACGTGCAAAGCCAAGGAGACTCTCACCTTGCATGTCGTGGGGTCTGGCCTCGGGGTGTCTCCAGAACAACCTTTCGGAGCCCACGGCACGCAAGCGCGGGGTCCCAGGGAGAGGTCTACGCTGAGAGTTTAAAATGACCTGGGGAAAGAGCAGGTTGAAATTGCTTTAGGGAAATCAGATTAAATCGCAAATTAATCCATCTGAGAAACCGTGAGCATTCAGCGTGTGCCAAGTTAATCCGTAGGAGTTCTTCCGATATTACGGATCTGCTGCTGCAGCCCCCAGGGTTCACACAGGACTCAAGCCCGAGAGCATCAGAACGTCACCGTGCACCATCAACACGGACGATTGTCATTGTTAGTGACACCTAATAAAGCCGGAGGTGGGGGGAGGAGACCGAAAGCCAGTGAGCTTTCACAGAAGACGTAAAAATAGCTCCAAAGGATCTGAAAATGCCCCCCCTCCACTCACAGTCCAGAAATGCAAACACGTCCGAAAGTCCCTTTTTCCCTGACCCATTAGCCAGGCTGGCGAAAGTAAAGAGCTTTGAGTCTCACGCCATCGAAAGTCAAGGCGTGGGAACCCGCACGCTGCGCCGACGGACGTGCAAATAAATATTAAATGCGCTTGGCTTCTGGCCCAGTAAAACCCCTGCTGGGCATTTTTAACGGGGAGGGAAGTGCCCAGGTGTGAAGAGCAGGTGGCCCAGAAGCTGAATTGGTTCCTCGAGCCCGTGAGAGGGACGTGGCCGGCGTCCAGGGCCCGCCTCTCTGCTGCCTTCCCTCCCCGGAGGTGCCCCGAGAGCAGGTCCCATCCCGACCAGCCACACCAAGAGGCCTGGACCGCCCGAGGGTCTCTCTCGCCCTGCTCTGCAAGGCTGGGCCTACCCGGGCCTGGCCGACCCCGGCCCACCCACCCGGCTGCCTCAGTCAGGGGAGGCCCCCAGGGAAGCCAGCAGGTGCGGTCGGCTCCTGGGAGCAGGTGCCGGAACTCTCCGGAAGCCACTGCCAAGGGAGACAGAACTGTGGCCGTTCACGCCAAGAGCTTCAGTCCCACCGGGCGGTGCACCCAGCTGCGTGGCGCCCAGCCCCGCCTTCGTCAAGGTATTTCTAAAAACTGTAAGTGACAGGAAGGCAAGTTGTTCACCTGAAGTTACAGGAAGTTCATTGACTTATGAAGAATTTTAAAACAATACCTCGAAAATACATCAAAAAGTGAGAAGTTCAGCCGGGCGTGGTGGCTCACACCTGTAATCCTAGCACTCTGGGAGGCCGAGGTGGAGGATCACTCGAGGTCAGGTGTTCGAGACCAGCCTGAGCAAGAGTGAGACCCCGTCTCTACTGAAAATAGAAAAATTAGATGGGCGTCCTGGCACACGCCTGTAGTCCCAGCTACTGGGGAGGCTGAGGCAGGAGGATCGCTTGAGCCCAGGAGTTTGAGGTTGCTGTGAGCTAGGCTGATGCCACGGCACTCAAGCCCGGGCAACAGAGCGAGTGAGACTCTGTGTCAAAAAAAAAAAAAGGAGACACTGGGGCAAGAAAGAAAGGAGAAAAGCCGCCTCAAGGTACCATCCCCTCCTCAGGGGTGGCGGGGTGCTGGGGGTCCCTGGGCTCCCCCCCCGTCCCCCCCGGGTCTCAGGCCAGCCCCTGTGAGTCGAGATGGAGGGACAGGGACAGGGGTCTTTAGACCTTCCCATGGGCACCTGTGCATGGACGCCCCCCCAGCCTCCACCTCTGCTCAGCCGGGACCCACATGGTCCTGTCGCCCGGGCTGCTCTGCCCAGTCCCAGGCCCAGCAAGAGGCCACACCTGAAACTGAGAGGGGCAGGTGGTGGGGGGGGGTGAGTAGGACCACGGAGGGCTGAGGAGGGTGGCCTAGTGGGCCAGGGCCTCCAAGGGAGGGGCCCCCTCTGTGCGCCAGGCCCCGGAGCCTCGGCAGGGCCTGGCCTCGCCTGCTCTGGGAAGGGGCTCCCGGGGCGGGGGAGGGGGGCTGCCCTTCCCTTTAACTGTACAGAGGGTTCTGGAAAGCAGGCAGAGCCACACCTGGGAGGCCGAGGCCCCCCCTGCCGGGGCCGGGCGGCCGTTCATCCCACTTCTCCCTCAACCCCGGGAGCAGACAAAAGGCACCTAATCTTCAAGCCACTTCTGCAAAAGCCAGAGGAAGTGTCGGCTCAACCGAAAATGCAGGCTCCCCTGCCAGGAGCTGGGCAGGCCCTCTGGGGCCCCCTGGCCCAAATGCCGAGGGCAGAGCCTGGCGGGGGCGGGGGCGGCCTGGGGCCTGTGCAGCACCCGGCGCTGACGCCCGGATCTGGGCCGGCCACCCGACAGCCCGGCAGGACCACGTGGAGAGAACCAGTGGGCCCAGCAGGAGGCCGGGTGGGCACAGCCGGCGCAGGGTGGCCAGAGAGCAGGTAATGCCCTAGCAGGATGTCCCAGCTCCCAGCACTGAGGTCCGGCTCCTCCCCATGCAAGCCTCGCGCCCCTGCCGCCACTTGGACTTTTGTGTCCTGCCCTGGGGCTCAGTCAGCACCTCCTCCAGGGCCCTCCCTGGGGCCGGGGCCAGTGCCCTGCTGCCGGCCACTCAGGCCCCTACGGCTGCCACCCTCCGGACCGAGTAAGAACAGCCCACAACGCCAGCCCGGGCCCGGGGGGCACGGGGAACGGTGACAGGCTGAGGCCCCTGTCACCACCCAGCTGGGCACGGCACCCTGACGACCCCTTCCCCCGCCCTGGGCACCCCCAACGCCGTGCCTCCACCTCCCCTCGGGACACGACCGAGCCCCTCACCTCCCAGCCGGTGCCCAGCGGCCGCGTCGGCCCCGCTCCATCCAGAACCTCCCTCCCCGCCACACCCAGCCCCTCCTTCCTGCTCAGTCGCAGTCTTCGCCCTGTGCCATGGTCCCCACCCTCCGCACAGCCTCCCACAGCTCCTTCACCACCTGTCCCCACACAGAGCCACCGAAATGAGCCCACTTTCTGGACGGCAGGATGCAGGGTGGGCTCACCTGTCTCCTTCAGCCTTTTAAAATGAATTTTTTAGGCTTTTACTTGGGAACTTTTAAACAGACACAAGCGGACAGAGAACAAGTCCACGTCCCAGCGGCCACACCCTGCGCTGTGGAAGCCGTGGGGAGCCGTGGAAGCCGTGGGGAGCCCGTGGGGAGCCGTGGGGACCCGTGGGGAGCTGTCGGGAGGACTCGCTGTCATTTCTTTAACCCTCTCGCTGTCCCTGGGCACGTCAGGTCATTTCCCGTCTCCCCACCTGCCTCCTCCCACCCAAATCTTAGCCCGCATTTCTGTCTTCCCATCTGAGATGAACTTCCGGGAGGGAACTGTCGAGTGGCCAGGTCCGGTCGGCACAGGGACCCTGCGTCACCACAGCCTTCCAACACCGGGGTCGACATCTCTGTCTGCCCCAACACGACAGATTAAGAAGCACTTTAAAAACGCGTTTGCATTCCTTCTATCGCTAGTCAGGTCTTCCAGCCGTTCTCTGTGCCATCTCACGTCATCCCCCCCCCTCCCCCCCGTCTCCTTGCGCTGGGTCCCTCCCGTCTGCCCCCCGCCGTCCCCTTGGACATCATCTGTGCTCAGTCCTACACCCCAGGCCCGGCGTCAGGGGTGGCCCGCGTCATGCACGCGGCAGAAGAGACCAAGCGCCCCCCCATGCCCCGCAGAGCCCCTGCTGCCCTGCCTGACCCCCCCACCCCCCACCCCCGCCCAGGAGAGGGCCCGGACAACATTTGGCGACTCTCCCGCCATCAGGACAGGCAGCCGGGGATGAGGAGAAAGTCGGGGGGGGGGGGGCAACGGTATAACGCACGCGATCATCACTCCCCAGATCCTCCTGCCCTCCCACGGCATCTGGGGCACCGGCACCCCTGGCTTCTCTCTTGGGTTCAGGACTCAGGTTATGGACCCTCAACCGAGCCCCCAGGGTCGGCCAGCAAATCACCCCTGCTTTCAGCCCCTGCCTGCCCCCAGCGCCCCAGCACGGAGAGCCCTGACTTACCCGGCAGCCCGCGCAGGCCCCGCGCCCCTCTCTGCAGCCACGCTGAGGTTCAGGAAGTCGCTGGGGTCCGAGCACATTCTCTCTGAAACTCCCCTAACCGCAAAGCAGAGCTGAGCAGGGGCTGGGCGCCGGGCTGGGTGTCTCTCTAGGGATGACAATGTGACCTCGTCACTCTCCTGGGGGCAGGAGAGGCAGGAAACCGTCCCAAACCCACCTCTCTGCTCTGATGACACCGGAGCCGGGGCTCAGCTTTGCTCGGGTGCTTCCCGGCAGGGGCTCCCACAGGGCTTCGGTCCCGTGGCCCCCGGGCAGAGACTGGTTGGCGCAGAGCAGGGCCACTGCCCAGGGGCTCTGTCCTCCCCGACACCCACCAGGTGCCCAGGACGGTGCTGCCCGCCAGCCACCGCACCCTCCCCTTCCCGCTTCCCCTGCTGGGCCAGGGCCCTGAGGGAGGATGGCGGCACAGTCCCTCCTCGGGGCAGCTTCAGCCTCCTTCCTGCCGGAACGAGCCCGGCCCCATCCGAGGTGGGGCTCTTGGGCTTCTCTGTGAGCTGCCGTGGGGGCCGGGGTGGGGGCCGGGTCACCTGGGGACAGCCCCTCGTGTCCCAGCCCTGGTGGGCACAGCTGCTCCCTGCGGCTGGCAGAGCCTGGCGCAAACGCCTGCGTCCGCACACAGGCCCAGCTTCCTTGGAAGAGGCCAGCTGGCCGCAGGTGTGACCCCCGCCTCACCGGACCACGTCTGCCCAGAGGCCGGCTCTGGGTCGTGGGGTGTGGCCTGTGGCTGTCCCTTCGCCCACCCCAGGGGAAGGACTCTGTAGCCGGGATGGTGAACGGTCCTTGAATTAAGACAGCCACAGCCCCGGGTGTGCGCCCCGCCGGGAGGGCCCTGGGTGGCTGAGCCACCAGCCTGCACCTCCCCCAGGACACACATGTGGGCCGCAGCTGCCCCGGGCTGCACAGGCTGGAGGCCCGGAGCCGTGCCTGCTGGGGGGTGGGTGTGGGTGCTGGAGGAGACCCGCCAGAGCCGGCTCCCAGGTGCCCAGGTGGGCGGGCAGTGTGTGCAGCCCCAGGGCGGGCCTCACCTGGGCTTCTGG